AAAAGGTATCAGCGATTGCTCGCAAGGAGCTTTTTCCAGTATTTCACGATTGGAAACGGCTGGGGAGCGATCCAGTTGGGATGCAACAGCAAGCTTCAGGAAGTCTGTGGCAACACCGAAATGCCATCACAGACTACTCGGGTCGCAACGGCACAATAAAATTGGTGTCACCCACAGCTGACCTCATCGAACGTATGTCGTTCACTACCAGAATGCTCGTTTACCAAGGCGACAAAGCCGTGTTTCACGGAGAAGCTCTGAATTACACTACAGTGGCTGCTTAACCATTGGGTGTACCGTATTAGCAGGAGCTAAAGGAACTTAAGGTACGGTAACATGCTCAAATTGTTAGAAAAAGGTACTTGTCAATTTGATCAAACTTTATCAGTATATTAGTTCCCATGCGCTCCTTATTCTCGTACCTCACATTATATTATTACAGCAATCCTGTATACCGTAGTAAAACGCGACCATACTGTGTGAGTCGCACTACAATCACAAGAAGTGTATTAGCGATATGTTAGCATTTGATGCGTCTGCCGGAGCCCATCTCGTATAAATCATAGACTAGTTTGACTCAATAGTTCCTAAGCTGGTGCTTTCAGAACAATCAATTATTGTGATTGACAATAAAGCCGCAGCCTGTGCTTCAGGTAAACGAGAGTTACGGTACCTGGTGGGCACCAAGAGACAAGGCATGGTATACAGAAGAGATAAAACAGTGGAGAAAGGCAACATCACGCTGATGATCAACGGCTATTGTGCCTCCGACTGGGGAAATAACCCCGACACAAGGAAACCTGTCACCGGATACGCTCATTGCGCTACTAGAGATACAGTGTCGTGGGCGTCCAAGCGCCGGACTATTATAACCCAGTTTGCCGCCGACGCGGAATACTCGTGAGACCTAAAATAATGCCTAAAAGAAAATTTCGCAAACCCTTAATCAAGCTACACTGTCTACGGTAATTAGTCTGACCGAGACTATTTTGTGTGTATGGTTTCTCAGGTCATACACATTAAATAGTCTGACACAGACTATTTAAGTGCTAAGACTATTTATGAATTTCGACCGGTCACAAAAAAATACACAAAACGTGAGACTCGAACCGTCAAACCTCAGCGTGGAGGTTCGTCGCTCAGACGACTGCTCCAACTAAGACTAAATTTTCGTTCTTTCCAATGTTTATATCTATGTTATCAAATGACCACCTTGCTGTATTTCTACGCGTTTTCCGTGTCAACAGGCTCGCCTTCAAAATGGGCCTCGTGCTTTTTGATGATGTCTTGGAGATGCGGGTAAAGCTGAGAAACCGACCACGTCCCGTCGATGCCGAGGGACAGACCGCATCGCATCATTGCCTTTCGCGCGTATGACATTCCGTTCTTATCCCTTTGAAGATTGACCGCCTTGACCGCATCTGAAGCGAGTTGCAAGAAAAACATCTTACCTGGGTTTTGAAGCTTGCCTGACCACGAGCCATCCTTGCGAACCTTGTTTTGCCACCCGTTCTCCTTGATCAACTCCATCTTCTTCTCGTTCCACTTGACTTTCCACGCGTCCTTGATCTTGGAAATGACGAACGCGTCAGCTGGCTGGCACAGATCCGTCGTATTTGGCGGAAAGAACTTGAGGTTAGAGCTGATAGCGTCGAGCTCTGAACGACATTCTTCCGCTTCCAAATGGCCGGAGCAGTTGTCGAGGAAGATCGTCTTCTTGCGCCCATGAACGTCTGCTCTCATCGCTCTCCTTTCTTTTAGGTACTCTCGAAACAGCTTTTGAGTCATCCACCCTTTCTTGCTTGAGCGATAGCAGACGCCGGGGATCTTGTCCGGAACTCCGTGGATAGAATAGTTCCCCGCCGAATTCATGAAGATCATCATTGGTGGGTGAATCCGAGCGCTTGGGCCTCCTGAGAGTTGCACGACCATCGCCATTCCTTCACCTCCGGAGACCACGTCAGCATACTTCACAGTCTCGTCGCCACAAAACCCAAGCGTCTTGCCGTTGTCGAAGTCGACAACGAAATGAGTTTCGTCGATGTTCTCGATCGCGTTTTCATCGAGCGATCCGTCGGCAAACCCACGCTGAAGCTCGCCTAGGTGAAACGCCACTTCCTTCTCGATGTGCTAAAGCTTGGCCTGGCTGAGCTGTTTTTTCCCGGTCTGGGCCCTGATAACAATCTGGTGTGCCTCCATAAAGCCCTGAACCCAGCGAGGGGTGATCTTGTCGATGATCAGCGCACCTTTTGGGTCAACACTTTTGAAAGTGTAGGGCGCTGAGCTATCTCGAAGAATCTGCTTCGCGAGTTGCTGCAAAAGCGCCGGCTCGAACTTCACGCCAAGCTTTCGGAGTCTGTCGAGCTCGTCCAAAAGCAAGGGATACAGCCACGTTACCCACGCGCTTCTGGGTCGCCCACGCCCCGCAATGACCTTGAAACTCACGCGACGTCTTCCACCTCGCCGACGCGTCGAAACAACAATCGCACCACGATCTGCCTCCAGTATACGCACACGCTTCTTCCACCAGTCCACCACCTTCGCTAAGTTGGCTGCCCGAGTCATCGAGTTGAATACACCAGGGAATTTGTCGACAGCTTTTGCAAACATGCCTTTGTCGCCTTTGACTGCTTCGTGCTCTGTCATCCAGCGGACGACCTTTCGGCGATGAGCGATGCTGCTGACGGCCTGTGTGCTGCGCGATTGTCTGGATGAACGGGGTGAGCGTGATCGCGTGTAACCGAGATCGCCTTCGAAGTCGTCGGCCTGAGATGTGCCATCGCTGGCTCGATCGGTATTGTCGCAGTCTGGACACACCACCGACTGCCCAAAGCCTTCGGCTCCAGTGGGTCGTCCACAAAAAGGATGCATGTGGCGCAAACACTTGGGACAGCGATGAACAGGACCAACGGGTTCTCCACAACCTCCACATTGCGCAGTAGCTGTAGCAACTTCCATGCCGACTTGCCGATAAAACAGAGAATGAGGACTTAAAACGTAACTGGAGGGAGCGCTACGGCGCTCTACCATCCAGTCCTTCACCCCTACCACCGAAGCGGAGGTAACATCAGACACCTGTTGCTATAGCTTCTAATGATTCTGAGTTGTATATGTACTTCGAGAACCACAAACATCAAAACCAAACGCTGTGAGAAAAAAAGTAATTGGTGACTCGAACCTAGCCGTACTGAGTACCAATGTGCACTCTTACCCACACGGCTCAGGTCAGACTATTTATGAACCTGTGTTGGTCAGACTATTTATGAATCTCGATATTTTGGCTAAACAATAAATAGTCTGACCTAGACTACTTTTGAACTGAGACTATTTTCGCACCTAGACTAATTACCGTAGACAGTGTACTACTCTGACATCGATGTGCGTGCACAACTTGCACATACAACACTCTTCCTGGGCAACATGAGTCGTATCGCTTCGTCATCATCGTACTGGAGCTATTTCTAACAGCTCCTGCGGCTACTCCTGGAGCTTGATCCCCAAAGAAATTGCCGTTTGGATACCACATGGCTAATGTGACGGGGTCACGCAGCACCTTGCGCTAGAGGAAGTTAGCTTCCGAGAGTATACAAACTCTCAGTGAACGGCAGTTCACAGGTCCCCTTTTCTCGAAAAGGGAGCGAAGTGACCTATTTAAGGTAGAATGTAAACTGAGTATATTTATAGGTAGATAAAGCTTGGGCTTAATACAAACTATAAGTCACCTATAGAAATACAACCAATGGTTGGCTTTGGACGAACTTGGTACCTTGTACCAAATATCCCGAAGCATGACGTGTCACACTTCTGAAGTGTGATGTGTCACACTTCATGTAGCCAGGGGTACACTTAGGGCTACGTACCCCGTTACAGCTAAGATCGTCGAGAGCAGCAGCGAAGGTGCCGCAGTCATTTGATGATGTAGATGTGTAATAGGTGAAGGATTCATTTAAGAGCTCCTGCAATTTCAATTTTTTTTTCCTTTAGCCTGTTTAGCAGTTTCAAGCCCATTGACCTGCTACAGCTCCGTGAGGTTAATGATTGCTTTCATCTCGGCAATAACGCTTATAAGATGGATATAGGTTCAGGAAATGTAGAATGCATTCGAAGACCGGACAGGGGGTATGAATCTATGAATATTCTATAGCACGAGATTCACGCTCTTTACAATAAGAGCATCGATATGCTACGCAGGACTTGGAAGCAGACATTCCAAAGTCGACGTGTACGTCAAGGGATATGTAGAGGCGCACGGGAAGCAGCTGGACTCAGTGACGCTTACCGCCGCTTCCACAGGTCTAATGAGTTCTTGGACGGTGTGATGAGACTCGGCTCGCTCCACCCATTGCTCTTCATGTCTTTCAAAAAGTCTTTGCGTACTCTGCCTCGCGTTATTTCATCAGAAGATGGTCACTGTTATAGATTCACCGACATCTTGGACACCTTAACTACGACGCCATTGAGAGACTAGCCGATGACCCGAGCTCGGGCATTGAGCCATCGCGAATAGACGCGTCGGTCGAAGTCAAATGTAGACGGCCATCTTAGGCTGAAAATACCATTTCCCGTCTGCTCTGTGAAGTTAATTCCGCAATTTGCCAGCTACCCCCGAAGTGAACAAGAGACGGGCCCAAGCTCGCTCCTTCGCTTCCCTCAGCTTTCCCTTGCCCCAACGCGATTCTGCCTGCCGGACCTCGCTTTACCCTACCCAAGCTTCCCTCCCTCTTCGAATCAAGCACCGCTCCCACCAAGGTCACGACTGGACCTCAGCGGGATAAAAGTAGCGTCAAGCGTGGCAAAATGCTGCACCCCGCGCCGAATTCTCGCGACCGCAAGACACTGTCTTTGATGACGCCGAAAGCGTTATGCTGGATCCTGACCGCACCCCAGCAGACAAGCGCTTCGCGGCGCTTGCAGATACGCCCCAGGATGTCGCCACCGAGCGGTCCCTACCGATGTGGATCCCTGCTAGGAAAATCATCGCCTTCTCGGATACGGAGATTATGACTTTGATGGGCCCTACGCCCCAAACGACGACGTGGACGTCCTACCTCGAACATCTTCGGGACTTCAAGACCATCCGAAACGCTGGTATCAGTTTTCAGTGTGACGACCGTAATATCTGTACGAAATTGGGCGGGGGGGGGAGAACCTGTGACTGTTTGTGGTCGCAAGCTCAAAGTTCAACCGTATTCTAAGTACTATCATTGGTACTACGTGGATCTTCAACGTCTGCCGGACGACGCAACGAATGGACTCATCTACGACTGGTTTGCCAACAAGGGACAGACCCCGGTGTACATCACGCCGGCTCATGTTGTAGGCGGTCTCCGCTCGCGCAGTCGACGAGTCTACTTTAACCAAAAGCTGCCCCTGACATCCGTCATGCTGGACAAACGCACCCCGCTCCGCCAGATCCAGATCACGGGTCAAGGTTACTCGGTGGTGCATCATCAAAACCGCGCTTACAATAGCGTCATTCCACCTTTCATCAAGGAACTTCGCGAAAAAGGACGACAGGCTCGCCAGCCCAAGCCTGTACCGCCAGCCTCAGATGCGGACGACACAGGCAGTGTCCCGCCGGCGTTTGACAACGCCAGCGATACCAGCGAAGGTGCCGCGATGGTTGACGACCCCGACTCAGAGGGTGAGCCGCATAGTGGATATCAATCTGGTGGGGAGTCCTCTTAACGCAGTACCATTCCGTCCGCTGTCGTGGCTCGACCCAAATCGGTCTGGCTCCACGAAACCGTACCAACATTTCCGGCTGGCTCTATTCAGGCCACCGACTTCACGCCTGCTCGTATTAAACGGGGGAAGAACATGGTATTTGGTTCTATTGCTGACCCGAAGGTCGACCTTCAACGCCTTCGTCCCTCTCAGCAGGAATACCCGAAGATCGCGTCAGTTAATTCGTACGAGGGGCTGAGTGAAGGTGCGGAAGGACCTATTCCGCAAGACCAAGATCTCATTCTCTGGGACAAGTCGAACGACCCGCCATAGTCCGTAGCTGCCTACGTGGGGCTATCAGAAGTGACTGAGAGCGTGCTCAATGTGGCAGTTTATCAAGGCAATGTTGAATAATTCCTACTTCAGAACTCTCCGCCGTTATTGCGGACTTTCTGGGATCGTTCATCTCCGCGACGGACCCGGATACTCTGCTGTCTACGGCGTAAGCCCAGCCTAGTCTTCACCGCGTCCTGTTAGACTCCAAGGCGGTGAGCAGCTTCCACCACCTCCGTTCCAAAGCCTTTGGACACGCCGTTCTTTGAGCGTTGCCCTCTCAAGACTATCTGTCGTAAGATGAAGGCAGCTTGTTTGGCCTACTCTCCACGCTTTACCCCAACCAGTATGACTTCGATTTCCAGACCATATTAGGGCAACTGTTTTCAGACCAGTCCCAGCTCTGGCTCAAGTCGCGGCTGGCTGAAGCTGACCTGGCTCTGCAGATTAATGCACCCAGTATCTACGTGGATTCCCTCAAGCTGAGTGCGGTGACAGGGAAGGCAGCATCGGCACTGCCTCACCCTCTGTGGCTTCTCTGGGATGACTCGACCCTTGCCAACGTAACAATGTCGCCCTTGATGGACCGCATTATGGCTGGGCCTCTCCCAACTGACCTTCGCTCCACGATTGAGTACCTTCGCGAACGGGCCGCCTCGGTTGTCACCTCTCTTCCCACTCGCCTCTAATATGCAGGGGGCCCTGAGAGGGTTCTCTCTCAACACGAATGTTTTACGTAATGTCCCGCAGCGTACCCTGAACTTCTTCTCGAATAATTTCCCTTTCGTGGGAATTCAAGAGACCAAGTTTACGGGTATCAAAAGCTTTAAAAGAGCAAAACACCACTGGAGCACAGCCTCGCGGCTAAACTCCAGCTTCTGGTCCCAAGATAACATGACCACCTATACGGGGCAGGCCGGTGTGAGCTTACTACTTACGCCACCCTGTCCCGTCCAAATGACAGCTCTTCGGACCTGATGCCTCGGTACTTGCAGGTGCGCAGCACCCTGGACTCCGTCGCGACTTACATACACGTGGTCTACGCCCCAGTTCAGCCAAGCCAGCGGGCTAAGTTTTACGATACCCTCCCCCGCACCTTTGAAGACGACCCCCACCACATTGTGTTAGGGGATCTGAATACCGTCCTTTCCAGTCAGCTTGACCAAGCTCGACAAGGCGACAGAAATCGTGTCCAAGGACGCGACGCTCTGCTAGAATTGATGAGCGAATTACACTTGGTCGACGCTTGGCGCCTTCAACACCCAGAGCTTCAGGTGTTTATTAGTCCAAACAGCAGTTCTCGGATTGACTACGTGTTCGTTAGCTCCAGGCGCTTCTACTTTGCCGCCCAAGACGTTCGACACGACTTTCGTGGGGTGGCAGGCCGAGGTGACCACGCTGGAATCTTGTTTCGGCTAGGCTCATCCTTCTTCAAACCTCACACGCGTGCCCCTTGGAAGTGCCCGCCCTGGGTCATCCAGCTACCCGAACCCCAAGAACACCTGCTGAACGCACTGAGCGAGCTGGCAGCCTCCTTCCGGGCCCCCAGCTGGGAGTCTTACATCCCCGGTTGCCTCTTGGATAAGCACAATTGGAGAGACTCAATATTTCTCCGCGAGCGCTTCCTTTCCAAGAAAACCGTGCGTCATCGGGTACTTGCAATTCTTCACCTACGTGTGAACGAGCTCCACTACTCGCAAGCCACAGAACCAGCTGAAGCTTACTCTGAACACATCGCCGCTGCCAAAGCTGCCAAACTGGAAGAACAAGTCTACTACGCGTCCAAGCAAAAATTCGCCTCAGACTTGGATAGCTCTGTGCGCTGCTCCAAAACCTTCTTCCGGCCGCTCCAAGTACTCCACAAAACGCCTATCCCCTGTGGACTCGGATGAAGAGCTAGACTCAACCTGCACGGCCTTCTCTTCGTACTGGACTGGTATTTACTGCTCGCCTTCGCAAGAATTTGGACACCACTAGCCCAAATGGGACCGCATCAAGCTCTCCCAGATACTCCAAAATACCCGGACACGCCTAAAGCCGGAAGATCAGGCTTACTTGGACAGCCCCTTCACGGCGAATAAGTTCTACTGGGAATTAACCCATACTGTCACTAGAAAGGCCCCCGGGCCAGATGGCTTACCAGTTGAGTATCAAAAGGTTGAATTGCCTCTCTGGAGCCGTATACTTGAGGTCATGTACGCTGCTCAGCTTCAGCGTGGGAGAATTACCAAGTTTCAATGGCGTGCTCAAGTATCGCTATTGTACAAGAAAGGCGATCGCAATCTCCCCAGTAACTACCGGCCAATCTCGCTCTTCCATGTCGATGCCAAGTTGGGGCCTAAAATCCTGGCTTACCGGCTAGGCTCGGCTCTGGAAGCCCTTCTTCACTCGGGCCAGTATGGGTTTGTGCCCGGACGCGATATCCGCCACGCTCATCTGCGGTTCCAAGCGCTATCTCAGCTGTTCGCTGGTGACCACTCACCGGCCGGTGCAGTTCTACTTGATTTCGCGAAGGCCTCCGACAGTGTCGTGTGGGACGCACTGGACATGGTCTTGATACATTTCGGGTTCAGTGATTCCTTCAGACGCTGGATCAGAGTCCTGTTCCCTGGAACTCTGGTCTCACTCATGTTTAATGGCCGTCCTTTGGACCCCTTTTAGCTAGGTGCCGGTGTCCGCCAAGGTGATTTTGTCTTGCCAGCACGATTCGTGCTTTTTATTGAGCCCCTGCTCAATTACCTTCGAGTCAGCCTTCGTGATGTCGGACTACGCAGTGGGTCTACTACACACTCAGTGATTAGCTTCGCTGATGCCTGTACTGGCCTTCGGTTTGATCTCAACCATACCAAGTTCTTCCTCGCTTTGGTAGACGACTTCTGCGTGACTTTCGGCATGAGCTTGAACAAGGATAAAACTGTGGTTCTTCCCTTTCAACCGTGGACAGCTGAGACTGAGCCTTAGCGCCAAGCCTTAGTCGATCTGGGGGTGATTGTATTCGGGAACACAGGACGCACCAAGTTACTCGGAATCTTCTAAGGTCCAAACCTCAGCGACGCCGACAGACTACAACTTTTGCTCTCCGAGATGGAGACCAGGTGTTTACTTTGCCTGCACCGAGCCCGAACCTTGAGAGGGCAAGTGGGGATACTGCAGCAGATCATTCTGCCTGTTCTGTGGTACACAGCCAGTGTCTGCCATATCCCTCAGACCAGATTCCAAGACCAGCTTCTCCAGCTAATATCACGCTTCCGCTGCCGATTCAGGTCTTCCAACGCTCTGCCCAGAGCATGGTGGTTCCCTCCTCCACACAAAGGCGGATTAGGCATTACGCCCATTTCCGACATGATTAAGAGTCTGCAGCTGCACATGCTTTGCAAGGTGATTCTTGCTGGGAGAATCCGTCTAGCAACGGTCATTCCTTCTTGGGCGGACCTGGTTATTCGCCTCTTTGACCAAGCTGTAGCCCCTTGGGGAAAAGACTCGATTTCCGGTACGCGCCTGTGGCTACCAGTCCGGACTGCGTGATCTCCTGTAGGTCTCCCCGCTGGACCGCTCTCGGGGCCTACTGGCACTTCGTGCTCTTGGATATCGCCTACCGCTACCGAGGTAGTACCCGGCTGGAACGTCTCGTCCACTGGGGTTAATCTCCATGCTGGCAGAACAAGGTATCATTCGACCCTGGAGCTTTTCCCTGTGACGGCCGAGACGCTATCGCAATATCTTAGCCAATTCATCACGGGGAGGATTTCCAGTGTGCGCTTCTGCGCCAGCTTTCTGGATAAGACAGGTCGCCTATTGGGTTCGCTCACGGCATCCCCAGTTGGCCCTAGCCAGACGTTGTGATACTACGCTGCGTCTCATGCGTGGGTGTTTGACACCTACGGAGTGGTGGAACTTAGCGTAGCTCGTATCCGGAACACTCTAGCCAAAGCCCCAACCCCCGATCTCCCTCTTTTTCGCCTAGGTGTCGAAAGAGGGCCTCCGCAATCGATGTGGATACGCGACATCCAGATGCGGAAGCACGCCCTGCCCGTCTATTCGGTCCTTCTGTATCGGCTTCAACACAACGCCCTCTTCTTCGGCTACCGGCTTCAGCATTTTCACGAAGCACAGCGCTTGTGCCACCATGGATGTGGTGTGCTGGAGCCCGCGCCCCACCTTCTTTGGTACTGCGCCTTTGCCGTGCACGTGTGGAGCGACTGGCTTCCCACGTTCCATCGCTTCTTCACATCTCCACTAGAGTGGGAATCACTCCTCTGGTTCAAGATTACGCCTACGCCTTCAGCCAAGACCCAGTACGGCTACAGCCTCTTTGGGATCCTCCACATCGTACGGGCTGTGGTTATGCGGTGTTTGTGGATGCACCGGGACGATATCCACTTTCACGACCTCTTCGCTAACCTGATCGACGTTCAAGCTCGGATCAAGGCTGTCATCTCACTCCATGTTGAACGCTACTATCGGGACCTTCTACTCAAGCCCCTGCGCCACTCCGAGTATCAGCGCCGACATCTGCAAAGACTCGTAACAACCCTTGGGATCTCAGCTATAATCCCACCGCCAGCTGGCGCTGACGAACCCCGACTGGAATACTGCGGCGAGTAGCAAGAGACGCAACCCACGGCGTTCAACGATAAGAATCAAATCACTAAGCCACGACCCATCCACCAATGTCCACCAGCACCTTTCAAGCAATCCTGATGTGACAGCGACGGAGCGGGCCCTGCCCACACACGCCTTTGTCGGTCCTCTACCAGAGTTGGAAAAACCATTGGTTGCAAAAACCGGAACGACCAAAACACCAGGTGTTTTTGGTTCTACCACAAGGTTTTTATGGTTCTTTGGTTTTATGTGAACCTGGTGTGTTTGGTTGAATGCCACTTTGAACTCAAAAGAGAAGAATAGCACTCCAGACAAACCGAGTGTATGCTTGGCTTTGCTTCTTGTGGCGGATGTAGAGCTGAGCAAGGAGGGACCACTAGTCGGAAGATCAGTCAAGCTCTTCGCTGCTGAAGTGGGGCTGAAGCTGTCATCATTCGTCGGTACGACAGCGTAAGAATGTGCAATATTTGCGGTTTGTTCATATCGTGTGACGCTATGCAAAACCTTGAAGCCTAGAAATGTGCTGGCAAGTGTACACTAGCTGCTTAATACTCAGATGGATCGTACATTCCGGCAAGGAAGTTGCCAACACGACGTCGCTCGAGACTCGGCAGTCTTATGGGAAGGAGATGACTACGACGGCGTCTACCGTCGGGTCTGGGTTGTGCACAGACGATGGTGCTGCTGGGTCTGGACTTCAGGGAGGTGCTGCGAGAGTACTCGGTGCATATCTTCACTGAGCCTGTGCTCAAGCGGATTCTGTCGGATAGCTACATGCAGCTCGCAGCGTGCATGTTGGTGATTCTGACGTTTTCGTGAGCAACGTGCCTGCCATTATTGGCGATATCTTTGGGTTCGAGGGTACTAGTGGCTCGTGGTGGGTGCCGTCGCAGTGAACGGCTCGTTCTGAGGTGAAATCGGTAAGAACTTCTTGCCGACGGAAAGACAGGCTGCACCACAGGAAGGCTGAATTTGATGAGATCTTGCTCGAGATCCGACATGTGCGCCATCACTTCGATCGCCTTGGAACTGGTGGACTCAAGAAGCGTTGGCAAGTTGGACGAGAAGCTGACGGGTGTTTATTGTGTATAGAACGACGTACGTCAAGACATATGTTCTAAACATCAGTATAAGACTAACGTGTACGAGATGAAAAAACAAATATCTGAGCAAAGCTGATCGTGGCTATATCGAAGCATGTCTTGCCACCTTAATCTGCTTTTACCGCTGACGTCGAAGTGGCTGCGGACTTGCGAAGTGCCAAACTGTATCATAAAATTCAAAATTGCTATGAGCTATGTGATAACACGCAGATAGCGGTTTGAACATACCTGGTTGAGTCGACGGTGAATCCGGTGTCTTCGACAGCTCCACCAAGGTAACCTTTTGACCTCGCAGCACAAATAATTTCTTTTCTTGAGGAAAGCGTCTGTCGTTGTGATTCGGAAAAGGTCGTCTTTCTGGGTCTGGGATCGGCGCGGAAGACAGTACTTTAATCACCTTTAATACGGTGGCAAAATTGATTTCTTCGGCGAAGGAAGCTACGTCAGCAGCTTGAGGGAAGCCAGCGAAGTCTGGCGCGCTGCCCTCACGAGTAACTGGTGGATCATTGTCACCTCTAGTTCACAGAGCACTGACCTCCAGTACTCAAAAGCAGTATCCGACCCGGCGACGCTTTCTACTCCGGCATCTTCTTCGGGCTCGCAGCATTCAAAACGGTCGTCGCGATCTCGAAGTCGCGTGCGCTCCGTTGGGTCGATGAGTCGGGGAGCTTTGTCGCTCTGAGAAGCGTCACACTCGGCGTCGAATTCCCGTACCTTCCTGCGAACTAGAGCAAGCTTTCTTGCCTTTTCTGGGGACATTTTGTTCCTCTTGGCGATGTGAATCAAGGCCAATTCGCTAAAGTAACGCTCACACGTTGCTGTGTTGACAGCAATAGACATGATTCCAAATGCAAGATCTGGTAACTTGCTTCCAGGCATCTCAGAGCGCATACATTTCCAGTAAAATTGAATCGAGCTGAAGTCCGCGAACGATACCAATGTTTCTTCCTCATCCACGATCCACTTGTGCAAGTCTTCATACAGTCTAGACGCATCCTTGCCGAGATTAAAGCGCCTAAAATAGTACACCACCACGCTACACAGAGAGCCAACTGAAGTCAGCGGTGTCTTGTCCAGAAGTTTCTTGCCAGCTTGCTTGTGTGCGGTGTGCAAAACGAGTGCCATATTTTTTAAGCTGTTGCTCGCACTGGTGCCATCGTTTTTTTACTTCGCGAATAAGATTTTGGCTACTGTACCGATTCTTCGCAAACCCAGCATAGATATCAAGATAGCACAATACGACGTCTGCCATAGTTTGACGGAAGCTTTAAAGGCGCATAGGCAAGAGGACGCACGACCTCTTCAGCGTCTGCTAGCGAGGCCCACAATGTCCGATCAGCGTACACTCGTAAAGCAGCTGGATAGTCACCAGTGTCTCTGAACTTCACCTCTAGCATCTCCAACGCACTCCGAGCCCTCAGGAGCGACGCGAAGCATCCATACATGCTATTCCATCTTGTTTCGCACATCTGCTTCAAGTGTAGCTTGTAGCCGTAGGTATCTCTCATACACATTCAACTCGCCACTTGGCTGACGATGCATTCAGGGCGTTGACCGCATCCGACGCTTGGTGACTTAGGCGTAGTCGGACTTGAGTACGGCCTTCACCAGATTATTCAAATCGTGCGTAAAACAATTACGAAAGCAATGTCAGGCCAACGGATGCTCAATATTCTCCGAGCTCAACCGCACTGTCCCGCATCATCGGTAACCACAGCTTCAATTCTCCAGCCGTCCTTCTGCATGTTGAGCATCACCCCCTCCATTTTCTCGGCGATGGCGACACCATCATGCCGGGAACCGGTGGCAAAAAAGCCCGTAGACTAATACAAAGCCGAACAAAGCCAGCTGACATGTGCACGTGCGATGTTCTGCCATACGTCAGACAGAAAGCTAACACGACCATCAGTGTTGTCTTGGTACTTTCTAAGTGTTGAATTTTCATGGGGTTCACAAGCCAATGCGTATCCATCAAGAATTGGTCCACCAGATGTCTTGCGCCATGGGTGGGGATCAACACTACCACTCATTTTGTTTGCGTAACGAAGAAGACAAGCCGTTGACTGGTGCTCAATAGAAATGTCGGGCAAGTTGCTGTCTGCTTGGAATTCAAAAGGTAGACGCTCCAAAACTTTAGTATCGTTTCTTGAAATATTTCAGCATAGAATTCGTCAATCCGTTTCTGTCGTTTTGGCTTTAGCTGCTGAATTAACGCGTCGTAATCGGAGGCTAAGCGCTGCGCTGTCGCCACCCTGCCATCATCGCCTGCTTCATGATTAAATCTATTCGGATTTAAAGCGTCAGTGCTAGTGAAAGCAACAAATCTCTTACAGCGTTTTAGATGGCTCTTGAAGTTCTCGATCCTTCCTTTTTTTCTCCTCGGCTCAGGTAGACTGTACGTCGCATAAGGCTGCCTGGAGCCCTTCTTTTCTTGGTCGCAATGCTTGCAAACGTGCCACGAGCGGCCGTTCCAGCAATCAACTTCAAGATTTACAATCGCCAAGCGTTCTTCACTCGCGGGATGCCCCATACGCGGCAGGTGTTCTGTTTCTGCTCTCACGCAGAACGACAGTTTATTTGGAGAGGAGAGGGTATCTAAGACTGAGAAAAGAGAGTTCGTGCGATGAGTGCTAAAATACCATCATCAAGACCGGTATGTCTCCCTCGATACTAGTACTACTACCGACCGCTGTGCTCTTTTGTCAACTCTAAACCTGGTCTGTTCAAAAACCAGCCCTCGACCAGGTGGTCCATGGTCGAACTGGTTTTTTGACTGGATTGAACCATGGTTTTTGCTAAACCAGTAAAACCAAAAACCAAAATCCAGCCAACACTGCCTCTACTGCTGGTTTCAGTACTGAAGAAATCGCACTTTGTCAAAGAAGTAAGGTACAGCTGCGCCCCATCTGAGAAATATAAGACTGAAAGCCCTTCTCAATTGTCGGCCCCAGATTTGTATATTAAACATTGGTATACACCGACTATACGAGCTGGTAAACCTGGGAAACGTCCGGTCAAGGAGGTACTCGAACCCATCAGTATCCAACATGGATACATCAGACATTTCCACTACATGTACACCAAAAGCACGTGTTATTTTCTCGGCACCCACCCTACCCATCTGACCCGGTACCTGCATCTCGATTGGTAGTAAGGTTTACACGTCGAGTCATGACTGTGACTCGTCGCAAGTACTGTATGCCCTCACTTGCCTTCAGCTTGCCTCCAAGGCCCTTCAGCACCCACCCCGTCGATGACTTCCCCACACCTACATTTTATGTGCACTTGAAATTTAGTTCGACAAGATCAAGTAGCTAGGCATTTTGCTGGATAACAAGTGTAATGCAATTTGTTTCTCTGTGAAGTTAAGCAGCCTCAAGCTCGTGTAATACTCGGGTGGGTGACCACCGGAAAAGTCCGGGTGATGTTTACCTTTTAGCCTGTTTTGAGCTGTTTAACGACTTTTCCTGTGTTTGCAAACCCAAGATATGGTGTCTGGCACGATGCATTTCCTTTCGTCACCTTCTTCCGCTCACTTTGCTTTTGCCACAAGCCAGCGCAGTTGTCTTTGCATAAAAAAGCGTCGTGAACAGGAGCGCAAATACGGCATGGAGTCGTCGGCGTCACTTTTCACATCATCGAAATCTTGGGCTCACCCACTTACAATTACTCCGCCATGCTGAACTGGGAGGACACAAGTGACATTCCAAAGCAAGACTACATCCCACAACAGTCGGCGCGCGAGGTCTTTTGCGAAGCGCAAATCGATTGCAGATATAACAATTTTAGGCATGCCTTTCCGTTATCAGCTCTACGCCTATTTTTATGCGCCAACCATGCTCGCTCTAGGCCATAAAACCGAGCGACATTTCATCTGCAAAGCACAATACATCTAATTTTTTATCTAGGTCGCGATAACTACATATGTGATGGGACCTATGCGGACAGTCTCAAAAGGAGGCACACGGTACGTCCTTACGCTGGTGCAATACCACTCAAGATACGTGGTAGTGCACTTCCTGAAGAAGAACAGCGACGTGATCACAATATTGATCAAGTTTAAAACCCTTTTCGAGAACCGGTGAAGAGGAGGATTGTAGTGTCTCCAGTTTGACTTCCGCCGTAGAGCCCGCAACCCTCGTTCTGTTGCTAATCCGCAGGCGCAGCGTATTCGTATCGTGCCGAGGCCATCGCGGGTCTCACCGTCGACACGTAGATAGCGGCCCTTGCACCATCTCGCTCCGCAGCACCGCTTCGCCATTGCTCCAACATAGCATCCGCTCTCTTAGTCCAGTGATATGTAACGGGGTTACCGTGCTCCTTCTGTGATTAATGACAGCTATATTCTTGAAGTGAAAGCTGCCTTTCGCTAAACAAAATCCACACCTACAGTAAATGGATCATGTCTAATCTTGCACTTTGTACGTTGTCAGCAAGCACATAAGCTACAACAGTACAACATTTATAGTGCAATGAATGCATGAGCGTCAGCAAATGACATAAGGAATACGATACACGCAAGTGGTACATGTAGCCACTTGGTTATGTGGTGTAGGGATTTACCAAAATATGCAGCGAGCCCCTAGCACACATCAATTCGCCTTCCATGAGGGTCGGCAAACGTTGAGGCGTAGTGGAAGAAGCTAAGTAAGACCCAGCACCCTCAGCCGACGCTTCCTTTCTTATTGTCTACGCTAGTAGTCAGAACACACAAACGTAACATGCACGGGTTTTGCCTGTACGTCTACCCCCTCTCTTTTTTTTTTTCAACACTCCGTGGCACCAACAGCGGAAAGCTGCCTAGTCTTCTTGACTATTTAACGGGGTACCCGAGAATAACTCAGGCTGCAAGTTATCTGCGGTATACAATCAATACCGATATCTCTAATATCAGGAATCCAGTAACCGATTTTTCCTCAAATAGGGAACAAAACGAAACATAAACCCTCTACTGGTCTCTTGATCGGATCGGAAACGAACGCTAACTTCAGGAAGGTCGATGTTCGCTGGTAGGCATATCCTGCAGGGCCACTAAGTGTAAAGTACCTACCTCGACGCTTAACACTTGTGTGCTCCAGAGAAAATTCTGCTCTGTTGTTGTTAAGTCCGGTTGGCGTTTACTCTCTTCTAATCATTCGTACCCTTATCTTCTATTTACAAACATCAAGTAAAATCAGTCCGGACCTTACCGTGCGTTCTTTTTGTATTATATAGACCAGTCGCTGCTTCGGGATGGTGTGGTTCACACCCGTGACGCCGCGTCGTCATTGCAACCGTCGCCGTCGACGCCAATAGGTCAAAAATGCCGTGATTAATCCTTGGGACAGTCTGGCGATGGTTCGTGACTCAATCCCTTTCTCCCAGCGATTCACTAAATCACCACTGCCCCTGGCAATACTCGATCAACGGCACTTAGTGGACGCCTTGCACTTCGCAACTTGTCTCTCATGAGTGGCTTCGTACGCTGCACTGTCACCCGGGTGCTCAACCTCACTCTCTTTCTTCTGGTCCTCCCCCTGTCGCTCCCTGCGATGCTGCTGGATCTCTCGTTTATACGTCGACAGTTCACGCGGTTTTGTCGGCTGTCGTTCGCCACGCTTTCACACCCCAGACTGCTATTACAGCATAAGCTAGGCCGCCCTTCGAGATATCGTCGGCGTCATCGCTAAAGCCGTATTCAGCCAAAGTCTGAATGTGTCTGCGTCGCAACTTCCACATTAACAAAAGTCTTGGTACAAGCGATGGCTCGGCGTCCCTCTCCGATGCCCGACAATTTCTGGATCGATCTGACTGCGTCCGTACGGTGGACGAAGTCTACTTGGTCATCGCTACCGGACCGTCGACCAACGATACCCCGGATGCATCCGGAGACGCTCCCGCTTCAGCGAGTGGTCGGACGATTTTTTGGCTGACACTTCAGTCCGCCAGCGTTGCTAACGCAAGCTCCTCTCGGCTTTCTCAAAGTGAGCTACGCTCCATTCTACTCATCGTCTCGTTACGCATCTTCGCTCGCCGTTCGTTCTCCGTCGCTTGGTATTCCTCCGCCATTGCCACCGCAATTTCTTGTCGTCGATTGGCTTCTCCCCTCCAAGCCAGAGCGCCAGACTGCCTTTCTAAACCTCGTTGCATCGACGAAGTCGTAGCTTTCAGCGTCGACTGCCTCTTATTGTTTCATAGGTGTCAGGGTTGGTTGGTCCATCAACACCCAAATACTTACATGTTCCAGCGCTAAAGTCAACTCCAGATACTTCCCATTTTCAACTTCCGAGTAGGCGAATGGTCAAGCGTTAATATTGTGGCAAGCGCTCAGGATAAATGCTTCGACACCTTCGTGATTCTGGCGGTACTCCACGAATTTATTGTACTCATATAGAACGCCGTTCAGTCGGCCAGCCATAGCAGTAAAACGCTTCTCTTTGAGAAGTATCCCCTTGGATAGCTGATTTAACGATGCTCGATCATACTCAACGATCTCTGCCATCGTGTTTGGCAAATCTCCATCGGAAATTAGCGCAGCGACGCCTGAGTGAGGTGTTGTAAAGTTATGCTCTTGATTTACTCACGATTTCACAATCCATCGCCCGAGCAAATTGGGCATCAAAAAGCGAATTTTCATCCTTGCGTATCAGTGTGACTAAACCGAACTATTTCAATTCCGTTTGCAAATCCCAGGGGGTGGGGGGGGGGGCACAACAGGAATAAAATGAGTTCTGGTTACTTGACGCGTTGTCGCTCTGCTTCACAATTCGATTGATATGCGGTAAATCGCGCTTGATATCAATCAACACGGCTTTAACCAATGCTGCCACTGCTTCCTTTTATTGTCGATAATTTAGCCCAGATATGTAATTGTAGTTGACTTTTGTTTCTGAGATTTCACTAGATGAGTTGGAATTAGAACTAGAAGCAGACCAAACGTGAGCCATTGTTCCATGCTAAGTCTTTCCACGCTTACCATAATGTTCCACTACTGTTTTTACGGTAGTAGAATGGGTCAATTTTTATCGTAAAGTCGATAGTAAGAGATCCGTTATTTAGCGCACCACCTTGTGCTGCTCGCGCACTCATGTTGTCCAGAATTTTTGAAAGCGAGTGATGCTGGTGTACCAAGCAAAGTCGATGACCAATGAATAGCTCATTCTTTTCGAAGCAAATGTGAAATACTGAAATCACACGTGCGTCAGCATCCTCTCTGTACTTCACCTTCTCAGCGATGTGATTTAGGAGTGCGTGCGTACCCAAACTAGGTCAACAACACACCGTTTTTTGTGTTTCTCGTGCTTATGGGGTGATGGTAATCTAAAGTTGGCTTCGTGTCGTGGGCAGCTGTCAACAGTTGAAACGGCTTGATCTTCTCAGAAACTCGGTGCTGATTCGAAACTCCCGTATTTTAACAATTCCAGAGAATATTTAAGCAACGAGTCAGTTCCGCATTTTCATTAAGAGTCAAATCGGAGATAATTCGTTTCAATATGTGCATGCTAATAATAGTCCGGAAACATAATCAACAGCAGTTCGCAAGTCGGTTTTTCATGGGTTACAGCACGACACAGCCTGTAAAACGTTCGTCGAGATATCTGAGAGAAGTCGAATCGCTCGTAGTAGTGATCGTACATGATGCTGATTGTTTTTTTTTTCAAAATAACTGGTACAATGTGATATCTGCCGTTAAGAACAGCTCGTTTTTGATAGAGCTCACGGGTCTTGGGCAACGTTAGGCTTGTACGGAGCTGAAGGGAAGAGGCAGCACTAGGGAAGAAGACCGAAGCGAAAACACTTGAGGGGAATAAGGAAGATTCCGAAGTGATTGTTTGATCTGAGCTTACACTGTCCTCACTACCTAAATAATCCGATCATTTGGTGAATCCCATCACCAACCCTCTGCACTCGCTACTCCTCTAATCGTCGGGGGATAGTGCTGGACCGGTTTGGGCTACCGGTTTATGGGTACTTTCTGTCTGAAACCGGTACACCTCAATAGTTTTGTACTCCAAGAAAGATTTGCTACATTTGCGTGAGATCGTATCGCACGATCAACGACTGTTCGGTTAAATCGTGCACGAGACCATCATTTCTTGTCAAACCCTCCTTTAAGCAGTTTATCCAAATCTTGGATGCCGGATCTGTAGGCATCTTTGCCAAGAAGAAATCGCGGATAAGGTTAGTGATGGGGACGTAAACAGTGTTAACGTCAAGTTTTCGAGGTTCCCGTTCCCGTCCAAAAGTTCGCGTTAGTGTTTTCTGTGACGTAAAGTTGGCATCCAAAAAGAATTCATTGATATAGGTTTAATTATGTTTTGCAGGATCAACGGTACTCGTGTGTCGCAGCTACCTTGTGATCGTGCTGCAATTCTGATGACCCTGTCGTCACCGGCAGGCGGCATATAAGACAATGGGCATGCGGAACTTCCGTGACGATAAACGTCTTTTCCATGCTAAACAGCCGGATAGCACGTGGCCATACACAGGCTGTGTAACACAGCTCGACCAGCAAGGGCAAGAACCGCGACATCACGAGTCAGCCGTTCCTGCCAGCTACCTGAAGAACAATCACACCGTGACCACGAAACCTGGGTCGACGGAAGAATGCCCAGCACTGACTTCCCCACGTGGGTCCTACATTCTTGCCAAGCTGAAAAGTTTACTGACAGATGGCACGGTCAAGACTCTGGGTACGGAGTACAGCGTAACGGAGCGTACGTCCGCTTTCGACTCCTACTCATTCGCCTTCCAGACACAAAGTACATCGACCTGCTCTATAATTTGTTACAGACGCACAGCTCATCAGTGTGCGTGTTCATTGCGCGGTAAGCCAGCGGATGCAACGGTGTGGATAAGCGCACGGGGGTTAAGGTCTTCCTAAACGGCTTCACCAAGACCGCACGGCTAACCAAGACTTCAAAGTTTGGCTACTGCGTGTCCACGAAACCTGATAGCATCACCTAGTACGTTCTGGACTCGTGTGAGACCTTGGGCGATGAGGAACTCGACAACTGATCGGCAAGAAGCTGTCCGATGCTTCTAGTGCCTGAACATGTCTGCTATCGACCCTGTGGGCTGTATAGTGTGCAGAGCGCGAAAGATG